GCGAGTTGGTAAGAGTTCATAATTACTTACAGCGCGACTGGGACAAGGACAGACAGAGGAGAAACAGAGAAACACAGGACAAGCGCTGAACTAGCAACTGATTCTATTGAAAAGAAAAGACATGTGATGCTGCTGCTGCTCGTGCAGGCATGCCCCTCCGTGGCCCTGTCGCTTCTTCTTTCACTCAATGCGAAACCGGCCAAGTTATCCGAGATCCAAAAATTCGATCTCGCTCTTCATCAAAGTCACTGTGGGCTGGCTCACACACAAGGATCCGGTTTTTGTTATGTGGTACGTCTCCATCATTTCTCGGGGTAGTTTGTGGTTGTGTTGGAACATCACTGTAGTCTTGTTGAGCAGGGGTTGGCATCCGCAATCCCGGCAATGCATCGCGAGATGCGTGTGAGCGGTTCCTTTCATGGAACTGTGGTGTTCTCGTAGTCTGATGTGGAGGCAACGCCCAGTCTGTCCTATGTAGGCACGCCCGCAGGAAAACGGAATCTTGTAGACCACGCCTTCTATGCAGGCGACAAACTGCATTCCGTGTTTGATGCTGCAGCCGCTGTGAAACTTGGGATCGTTATTTCTCGCGCGTTTGTTGACTGCGGAGCACACAGAGCTGAGCTTGTGGCGGGCGGAAAAAACAACATTCACGTTGTATCTTGAGGCGACCTTCTTGAGTCCGTGGGAAAGGCGGTGGATGTACGGTATGACTGAGGTTTTCTTTTTCTCTCTCTGCTCGAGGTCACGTTGCTTCATGTCCCAAATTCAACGGCTCAAGGATTCGGGATATCCTAGTGTTTGAACAGCGCAAAGACTCTTCTATCTTCTCTTCTATCTTCCTGTCGTCTTTGCGCTGTTCAAACACTAAGTATGAACCAACTAGCCCACCGCAGTACCTTGTTGCGGGATATCCTAATTCGGTCATTTCTTCAGCTTGCGAAAAAATCGTGAAACACCTTAAAACAGATCCCGCGATCGAGCAACGTGACCTCGAGCAGAGAGAGAAAAAGAAAACCTCAGTCATATCGTACATCCACCGCCTTTCCCACGGACTCAAGAAAGTCGCCTCAAGATACAACGTGAATGTTGTTTTTTCCGCCCGCCACAAGCTCAGTTCTGTGTGCTCCGCAGTCAACAAACGCGCGAGAAATAACGATCCTAAGTCTCACAGCGGCTGCAGCATCAAACACGGAATGCAGTTTTTCGCCTGCATAGAAGGCGTGGTCTACAAGATTCCGTTTTCCTGCGGGCGTGCCTACATAGGACAGACTGGGCGTTGCCTCAACATAAGGCTACGAGAACACCACAGTTCCATGAAAGGAACCGCTCACACGCATCTCGCGATGCATTGCCGGGATTGCGGATGCCAACCCCTGTTCAACAAGACTACAGTGATGTTCCGACACAACCACAAACTACCCCGAGAAATGATGGAGACGTACCACATAACAAAAACCGGATCCTTGTGTGTGAGCCAGCCCACAGTGACTTTGATGATGAGCGAGATCGGATTTTTGGATCTCGGATAACTTGGCCGGTTTCGCATTGAGTGAAAGAAGAAGCGACAGGGCCACGGAGGGGCATGCCTGCACGAGCAGCAGCAGCATCACATGTCTTTTCTTTTCAATAGAATCAGTTGCTAAAATTGGGTTGTGTGTGTGTTTATACAGCCTAGAACTTGGTCTGCCTCAGAGGGGTGACGAGTCTCCCAGCTGTAGATGAGAAATTTAGCCAGTGCGGTACAGCCGCTAGCCTGGGGTCTTTAACGTGCATCACGCAGTAGTGATACACGACCGCACGCCGGTACGATGCTCATCCAGATCGAAACGGGCAGGGGTGGGGCTCGAACCCAGGACCCCTGGGTTCTGCAGCGCGAGCTTTCGCTCCACGTGCTCCGAGCTGGTGTGCGCTAGACCACTCGGCCACCGATCCCCCCATTCAGTTGCTAGTTCAGCGCTTGTCCTGTGTTTCTGTGTTTCTCCTCTGTCTGTCCTTGTCCCAGTCGCGCTGTAAGTAATTATGGACTTTTATGTTCTTTTCTACCCCAGTCTCAGGTATATTCAACATGGTTAATCAGATTGTGTTCGTTCGACGGGCACCCGAAAGGCTGCATTATTCCGCGGCCACCGTGCCCATGGCTGACAGTGTCGCCGGCGGCCAAACGGCGAAACTGTGTGAGAGCGAAAAAAAATGATCTCGTTGCAACTAAAGTCACTGGATCCTGGGAAAGTAGCGCCATTGACTTCTCTACCTGCTATCCGCACACAAACGGAAACTAACATACAAACGACCCAAACCTCGCAAGGCGATTGGCTAATCGGCCTAATTAGAAAATTTATTTGCAACACTGTGGACAGGATTTTGTAAGAGACGCGCAGAGGTTAAGAACACTGTGTACACATATATGCGCGAACCAGTGTCTGTACAGTTGGCGGGTCTTTGCCGCGGAGCCACACGCACAAGTTCGAAGGCGCACACCCCGAGGTGTCCCCGTCCGCGCGATCACTCACGCGGCCGAAGCGTCATCCCAGAGCCGCACACCCGCGCCCGCGCCCCCAACGGCACCGCTCTGAACTCAGGGACCTAGAGGTTGTCCAGGTACCTGAAGCGGAGTTCAATCCGCGAGTCGCGAACGCTCAGGTACCGGCAGGACCAGCGCCTGAGGAACTTTTGTTCTCCGAGGAAAAACAGTTGCTCCTCGAGGTGTCCCACGAGCTCCCGCCGGAGCCGCCACAGGAGGGGCCAAAGAGCACGCGATCGACGCGCCTGTCTCACGGCGCAGCACCGGTTCCTCCACAGCACGTACTCGGCCGCGGCGAGGAGGAGACGGACGAAGACACCCGGAGGGCATCTCCCGCGCAGCAGGTAAAGTCCTACGCCCAAACCGCGGAAGCTGGTGCGGATGACGCGCCAGAACGTCCGCGCCACAACGCACTCCTTCACCGCGTGCACATTCGTTTCGCGATTCCCACAGTTAGGGCACTCGTCCGTGCGCGACACGCCCCAGCGGAGCAAGCGGTCTCCGCTGGGGAGGACGCCCCAACCGTGCTGCCATTCGAAGTCCCGTAGGTGCCCCGGGAGATACGAAGAAGTGAGACGGGACCAGGAGAAAGAGTCTCCGAGCTCCACCTGCGTTGCCGAAATCTGCGGCTCCAGGAGGACCTCTGTGAGTCGAGCCGTCGGTGTCTCCACTACGTCCAGCTGGGGTGCCCGCTCTTTGAGACGTTTGAAGAGCTGTATTGCCCTTCGGTAGTCAGACGGCGGGGTTTCGGCACAGGGGCCAGGTGAGCTCGGCGACTCGACTCCCAGTTTTCGGCGGGAGTGCCCCACGAAGTAGAGCGCGAGGGATCGGGCTGGGCCGTGCTCATCGCGCAATATCTTCAGCATGGTCTTGAGTTGGAGTACTGCGGGTGCGATGTCGACACAGGGAAAGCCCCACCCTCCACGCTCGCGCGGGAGGCAGACAACCGGCCGAGTGACCAGCTCCGTCTTCTCTGACCAGAAGAAGCTGTAGAGCGCGCTTTTCACCGGTCGGATGAAACGTGAGGTAGGGAGCGCCGTTTGCGCCAGATACCAGAGGCGTCCACAGAAGACAGAGTAGGCTAGGTACCTGCGCTCGGCCAGGGGAAGGGCGTAGGTGCGAGCAGAGTCCACTTTCTCCCCGATGTCGCGCGCCAGGCGCGTCCACATGTCCGCCGAGACTCCTGACGAGCGGTAAGTGACACCAAGGATCGTGACCGAAGTTTTTGCCGGGATCGGTGAAGAGGGGTCAGGCGGTCGGTTAACCCACAGCACCGCGCTCTTCTGCTCATTCAACCTCGCTCCGGAGAGAGACCCGTAGGTCTCGAAGATCCGGAGAGCCGCTCCGAGGTCGTCGGTGTCCCGCAGGTACAGTGTAATGTCGTCGGCGTATGCCGACACCTTCACCTCGCCGTTTCCGGGCAGGGAGAGTCCGCGGACCTGGGGGGTCCTTTCGACGTTGGCTAGGAAGGGCTCCAGGGTAAGGACGAAGAGCAGCGGCGAGAGCGGGCAACCCTGGCGGACCCCCCGGGTGACGGGGAAGCTGGCCGTCACACCGCCGTTTAGATAGAGGTCGCTCTTCATGTCACTGTAGAGCGTCTCGAAGAGTCGAACCCCTTCAGGGGGAATACCGAAAGCGGTGAGCACGGCTAGGAGGAACGGGTGCTCCACCCGGTCGAAAGCCTTCGCTTGGTCGAGGGAGGCGATCAGGCCTCTGGCTTGGCGAGCGTTCGTGTATTGCACCACGTCCCTCGTCAGGGATGTTAGGGTCTGAATGCTGCGGCCGACGATCGAGCACGTCTGGTGGGGTGTCACCACGTCCGGGAGCATGCCGTGGAGGCGCTGCGTGATGATCGACGCTAGCAGCTTGTAGCTTGCGTTGAGTAGCGTGATGGGACGCCACGCGCCCGGGTCGTTGGGGTCTCCCCCCTCCTTAGGCAGAAGAATGATTCTGCCTCGGCGGAACGACTCTGGAAGGCGGTGCTCTGTGAAAAATTCCCGGAGCACGGCACAGATATAGTTGCCCAGCACGTCCCAGAAGGTACGGTAGAATTCGGCGGGAAACCCATCTGGGCCCGGCGCGGACCCAGTTTTCATTCTTGACAGGGCAAGGAGCACCCCTTCGGGGTTGGGGGGCTCGTGCAGGTGTGCGGCTAGGTCTTCGGGAACTTGCGGGAGATCGCGTAAAAAGGGGTGCGCCACGAGGGTCGCACGGTCCACCGCCGATTCGGTGGTTGCCAGGGCCCGGAAGTGGGCGCTGAAACCGGAGACCGATGGTTGGCCTGGTGTTGCTGGCGCGCCTGGGGTTGTCGGCACTGAAGGGACGCGTCGCTCCCGCACTTCGGTGCGGTGGGCGTAGCGCAGCACCTCGGGGTGAGCCGAGGGCCCGACCCGTCCGTGGTAGGCTGTGGCTGCGTTGGTACAAAGTCGTAGCTGTCGCTGGTAACGGTCGAGGAGCTGCTGCAGGTAGCCCCGCATTAGCGGAGTCCCCGCGCCGCCCCGTCGCACGATCCTAATTCGCAGAGAAGTGTCTCGGAGCTGCTCGGCGTGCCGCCGACGCAGTGCACGACCCTCCGCCACGCACGCCACCCACCAGCTGTCTTGAAGCTGTCTTGAAGCCGGTCAAAGGTCAAGGGGTCTGGTGCCGCTCCATGGAGGGACCGGCGCAAGGCTTCTCTCAGGCAGTCGCGGCTTGTTTTGTCTCGCAGCAGTCGGGTGTCGAGACGCCAGGTGCGTTGAGAACTGGCTTTGCTGCTGAAGCGGAGCTCTACGAGTACCGGACGGTGGTCGGAGATGTACGTAGTGGAGGGAGGGAAGTTCATTGCGCAGCAGGCGGTGACAGAGGGGCTCAGAAACTCGGAGATGTAACACCTGTCCAGGCGACTGCTCGAGTTTCCTCGTTGCCAGGTATGCTCGAAAGCGGTGCCATGGAGCAGGGTCCAGCAGTCCACTAGGTCGAAGTGTCGCATCAGGCGTATCAGCTCGCCGGCGTTCCACGTGGTGCGTCCGTAGCCTGGGCCCCTGACATCGCGCCGGGAATCGACGACGCAGTTGAGGTCGCCGAGGAGCAGGCAGTGGCGAGCGTCGAGCAGATGGACGTCCAGGCTCTTGAAAAAAGCCGGGGATTGCGAACGCTGGGCTGGAGCGTACACGCCCACAGCACGAAAGCGCGTGCCGTCCACGAAGAAATCAAAAGCGATGTACCGCCCGTCGGGGTCAAAGCAGCACGCGCTGAGACGGAGGAGCGAGCGGCTAAAGATAATGACCCCCACCCCCGAGCTCCGTGTAGTGGCGTATGAAAAGAAACAATCCACCCCATACCGCTGCTTGAAGAGGTCCACGTCGCGCTGCCTGTGGAAGTTCGTTTCTTGCAGGAACAGGAGGTCGCAACGGGCGGTTCGGGCGAACTGGATGACCTCGATCTGTTTTGTCACGCTGCGGAAGCCCTGAACGTTCAGGGTGATGACTCGCAGGTGCGCGAAAAGGGGATGGATGGGGGGGGGGGGGGGGGGGTCGTTGTGTTCACTGCTAGTCCGTGGATGTATCGGATGTGATGCACGGGCTGTCAGACAGCGCGACGAGGTCCTTCCGCAACCGCTTGGGAGCCGCTGCCGATGCTGGAGTGGATCCTGGGGACCCTGATTCGCCGCTGCTGGAAAGATCTCGCTTCCCGTCTTCGGCACCGCCATGCGGGCTGCGACTGCGGCTGCAGGTTTTTCGGAGTTCCTCGGAGGTGCCGCGGCGACGATCTCGGCCGCGCGGCAGAGCGCTGTCTTTGTCGTGGGCAACCTCGTCGATGACGAGGTGGTCGTCCGACGATGAGGCAGAGTCCTCCGTAATGTCGCTCCAGCTGGGAAGCGGGCTGGGGCAGAGTTCCAGCGTTCGCGGGCGTTCCTCCTTCACCAGTACTTCCTCTGAGCCGGGACTGGTAGGAGTGGGCGCGTGCACAGATGCGGTGTGGATCGCATTCGAAAGCGCGGCCTCGGCGGCGTCCTGTGACGCGTTCGAATTCGCGTCGGTGGCGAGCTCGGACGGGGTCGTCACTGGGGGCTCGGCGGGGGCAGGCGTGTCACCGGACCCTTGGGTGGCGGCCGTCGCCGCAGGAGGGGAAGTAGGGGTAGTATTAGGCCTGCCCTGGGACTTCGGAGTCTGGGATGCCGGAGTCAAGGCCGGGAAGTCGTCCTGGCCGCAGCCGGCGACGGCTGAGTAGCTGCGACGCTGGGTGCAGTCCACCGTGGCGTGGGCCGCTCCGCAGCGTCCGCAGTCGGCCGCGCAGCCGACGGTGTCGTGGCCCAAGGCGGCGCAGCGGGCAATATATGGCACGTTACAGGCCGCCTTGAGGTGGCCCTCCTGCTGGCAGCGTCGGCAGACTCTCTTGAGACCGCGGTAGTCGAAGGTGGCCCGATGACCGGAGACGCGGAGGAAGTTCGGCACCGGGGTAGACTCCTTCATCTCCATTCGGATGTAGCGGGTACCCGTCCGGAGGTTGGGGTGGTCCTGGTAGACGCCGAAGCGAATATCCAGAACCTTCCCGTAAAGCGACAGGGCGGCGGCGAGGGCTTCGTTTCTCACATAAATCGGTAGGTAGAGGCACGTAATGGACGTTACTTGCGGGCCTACCGGGACGATGGGGACGCTTGTTCCGCCGATGGTCAGAGCCCCGGCGTTGACGATTCGGCTCATGGCCGATGACGATGTAACAGACATCTGAAAGTTGCTGCCTCCCAGATGCTGCACGGAGAACAATTCGGCAGTGCCGACAATGGCCGCCGCCGCGTCGAAGATAGAATCCACCGACGCGCCGGGCGGGCAGGAAACATCGAACGTACATGCCTTCGTAGGCTGGGCCGGCGATGCGGGTGTCATGGCGCCGCTGACAACGTAGACGAAACGGCCTACGTTGCCATGGAAATCGCCATCTTGGTCCATTTAAATCTTCGATGCTTCCAGGGGGTCGTTCTAAACCAGTCGCTCCAAGATCACCATGGAGCATCATCCTACTGGAAGCGTTCCTCGCCAATATAAGAGTTTTTGGCACTTCGTATGCGATCAAGTTATTAATCATGCCCATCTCCATGGATCTATTACAATTATATTGTTCTTCCTGCACATTTCAAGACAGTAAACTTATTTTTCAGAGCCTCCAAGCACCGACACAGCATCTGGTGGTGGTACGAACGTGTACGCCTGTTTCGCCGGTGTGTGGCTAGCAAAATCTCGGTATACAAAAAAATGGCTCGATAAAGCTACCCGTCACCAGGGAATCTAGATCGGCTCACCAAGAACGGAGGGGCCAAGGAAAAATTGCTCATTCCACGGACCAAGATGGCGACCACGCGGGGAGCTTGGCGTTACTTTCCCAGGATCCAGTGACTTTAGTTGCAACGACACCCAGGTACACCGTGGTCTTTCTGCACGAGCGACAACCTCGCTGGAGCTCGGCGCGTGTGGAGCATGAGGCGGCACGAGCCGTCTTTGCCGTGCCCTCGGGTAGATGAGTCATCTGCCGGTGCCGCTTGAAACCATAGTGAGAGATAGAAAGAGAGAGAGTGGAAAGCGAACTTTATCTGAACTGCGCGAGGAGCGCGCTGTCCTCACCTGAAGAGTATCTTACACCGTGGTCACAGCGTATTCGACGGGGGGAAGGGGGGGGGGGGGGGTTGTATCGGCGGAGGTCCCCGCATCCTCGGATCAAGTAAAGTCGCTCGATGTGTTTGCGTTTCTCTTGCAAATATCGTAAAAGGCGCCAGTGCACGAGCCCCGTGTCTTCAAGAGCGGCCCTTGATAGCAAATGGCAGTGTAGTACTGAAATGAGCGACCCTGAAAAAAAAAAGTGCCACTATTTAGTGGCACTTTTTTTATAGTGCCACTAAATAGGAACTACAGCCACACTAGAGTCACTAAATGAGCCCAGCTCATTCAGCGGCTCTGTATAGCGGCCTTTGGAAGCGGCGGAGCACCCGCTCGTGGCGCTTGTCTTGCGCGTTTCCAGAAAAACAATGGTTGGCAGTAGTGCCACTAAATAAGCTACGCTTCAGAGTAACGACACTTGGCCATTTTGTGTCGTAAAATCATGGTTGCCAGTTATCTGAAGCTTTATCTGAAATCACAGGAAACACTTTTCCGCTCTCTACAAATGTTTCAACAGTTCGTGACAGAGCAAAGCAATATTGCATGAGGTTCCTAACACCGAATCTAATGCTGAGGAAGTCGCACTTTTGAATCGTCACGATCGGCAGTTGCGTCTGCTCTGCATACGAGCCAAAATGGCGGCGCCAACAAGAATGCCGGGGAACGGAGTGCCGATACTCTAAGCGCAGCTCATTCAGTGGCTCTAGTTGGCAGTACTTCTACGCGTGAATTTGATCTAGAAGCAACCTCTTAGCCGTTTTTTTTTTTTTTACCTTAACCTATTTTGTTTTAATTTTTTTTATAGCACATGAGGCCAGGGCCGCACGTGTCTCAACCGTTAGTAGCCATTAAAAAAATATTGTACAGTAAAAACATTTACAGTACATGGGCTGCCATCTCGGCAGTGCCGGTATACTAAACCGTGAACGAGCCGAGGTCGTCCAATATAGTGCCACTATCAAAAACAGTCAAGAGGAGAGCAAGGGTGCGCAGCCGAGCTACACTCGTCCTAGGCGGTTTGAAGACGGCTGTATGTGGGACGAGCTACTCTCGTTCGAAAAGGGGTTGAGATCAAGCCCCTGCCTATCGTCTGCAAAGGACAGCGAACTTGATGGTGTGGAATGAACGTCGCGGAAGCACTGTGAAAGCTTTAAGGCTGCGGTCCCACGGCAGCCATCTTGAACAAGGCGTTAGTTCAACCAGTAGATGGCGACACGCACCCGTGGGGTGGCCGAAACATTGGTTCACAGTGAGATGGCTCGAGCACCATCACGTTCCCCTCGTGGCCTTGCTCGCGCCGCTGCCAGCTGTGCTCAGCTAGCTCAAGTAGCGTGGCCCAGCAAACGGATGTATGCGGAGATGCGGTTTGGCGGTTGTAACGGGCTTTCGCAACAAATCTTACCATGAAGGAATCAAATGTTGATTGACGTGTTAATATTCTATCAATGGAAATTTCTTCTGCAGGAATGCACGCTCAGTAGACTCAATCTTCCAAGACACCAGTGGAAGCGGACGTCAAGTCACGATTAACGGTGCTTACCTCACCATTTTAATGACGACTAAAATAACGTCAATAAATATTGTGTTTCACGGGGTCCGGAAGATGTTGTAAAGGTAGTTACATTATAGTTCCCAGAAAACAAACGCCGTTGCAATATTTTCGAAAGTACCGACACACATAATGTTGTAAGTACAGCTTAGGAGGAATATGATGAAAACCATCAGAAGAAATAGGAAGACGTTTATTTGCAATGATGACGCTATGAATGAACGGCGTTTAGCGACGGCAAGTTATGAGCGTTCGGGAATTTATAAGTTCACGTGATTGCTAACTATAGACATGCGTTTTTGTCGGGAGATGGTGTTGCGGTGATGACCTGATATCGGACGACTCGTGGCAGAAGAACAAGCAAGTTTCTTCTCAGCGAATGGTAAGTGTCCAGTGTCAAGCACAACACGTGGCTACCGACGTGGTCGACGTTTCGAACACTTACCGCTTTCGAGAAAAGTCCTGGCACCTGGGCTAACTTTCTGGAAAGACTCAAAGTCTTCCTTGAGTCCAACGCCATCATGAACAGTAACTGAAAACGATCCACTATTCAATCGGTGGGCGGCGAAACGTATCCGCATCTGCGGAGTCATGGACGATGCGTACTCTAAGTGGCTGGAAGTTTACACGATGCCTGCCACGACGTCCAAACACGTCATTGACGTTCTACGGTCTCTTTTACCTACTTTTGCCCTACCGAAAATACTTTTCTCTGATAACGCGCCAAATCTTGCTTCAAACAAAATAAACAAGTTTTTGAAGAAAAAAAAAACGGCATCAGGCATCACATTAGTGCACCATACCATCCTGCAACTAACGGGCATGCAGAACAGATGATGTGCGAAACAAAAAAAAAAAAAGCACTTTTGAAGCTTACGGAAGGCAGTTCAGTGAAGAATCGCCAGGTTGTTGTTCCAGCAGCACGCGACGGTCTCATCTTACACGGTAAAAACACCCGCCGGAGCAATATTCAGCTGACGAAGGGCCACACCCCTCGATCTCATGATACCATGGCTTACGAACGAAGATCGAGAGATTCCCAGATCGGGAGTAATTGCAGTTTATTCGGTCGGACAACTCGTCTACGTAAGGAATTTCAGCGGAAGTCGGGCCTTCCATGTGAAACTTGAGTAGAAAAGGCCCTGTGTTGGTTGACCAGAAGGTGTCATGTCTCTGAATACGTTGGATATCAATGCCCTTGAGTGTAAATATAACTAGATCACAAAACTCTCTTTGTGTATTGTGTAACTGCCCTTGTATTTGATAGTAGATGCTATGGTGGTGATTTGTACCTTTCGCACCAGGCTCCTTTTCTTATTTTTCGCCTCATACTCCTTTGCGGTTTAAGTATGCTTCAAGAATCTTTTGGAACGGGGACACTTTACGTCAACAAGGCGATTTGTTCCAAGTAGTCAATTAGGGAATTCTGCAAGAAATCCGTCCTCCTTTTAACGAATAATCCGCACTTTTGCACAGTGCAGTTTTCCTGTTCCACGTACAGTTGTAAAG